TCGAGTGCAAGAGCCTTTCTTGGGCACCTTTATCCTTCTCTTTCGGAGTAAAAGACAAACTTTTGCCTTAGTTGAACATAACCAAAGCGGCCATGTTTAGGCCAGGCAAGCAACTTCACTTACCTTCTTAACAGGTCTATATTCAAAATAGGGGAAAAGAAAAACGAGCAAGGCCACACAAAGACGAGCTTTTAGCAAAGACAAATTACCAAATGAAAAGCGTTCGTATAAAGCTGAAAATCCATTTCGGTTACAATAACTTTCATTAAAATCCATAATCCAGTAAATCAACTATAGATTCTACACAATTTCAACATTTAAAGTTAGAAACCCGAAAACCATAAAAGGCCATGCAGCACACATTTGATTACGAGTACAAACTTATCTGTTGACAAATATTATTTTTGCTATGCACATGAATACAAGATAACATAGCATGGAGAAGAAAGCTCCTCATTGTCTAACCTGCAGAGCTCTGATCTTTGACTCGGTGCACTTCCTCTAGACATTCCTTGGCATTGTGAACTTTGGATTGGAGATAAAAACTTCCGTTCTTGGCATTTCTTTCAAACAAATTATCATATTTCTGCACAAAAGGAAGAAAATAACTGAGTAATGAGTATAGCTGGACATGAACAAGTAGCAAAAGTAGAGAGAGAACACAAGCCTGCAAAATCTCCTCCCAAGTGGACTGTTCAGTTACACCAAGAACTTGTCTCGCCTCTTGCTCTGTCATAACTTTGCTTCCTTTACGAACAGCATTCTGTAACGTCTCTTGAGCAACACCAGACTTCGAAGCATCTGCAATCATCTGTAACCGTGAGAGTCGTGACTAATTTATTCGAAGGATAATAGAGATCTAAGATAGACAGCTTTCCATTCATGACAATAGAGGGTTCAAAGCGTGCATTTTACATACTTGAATGATTCATTACATTCATTTTTGAAGTTCATAAAAGCAAGGATTAAAATTTATACAGGCCAGAACGTAAGGAATAAATGATTGCCAACTTTTACTTCATCGCACTTAAAAATCTCCAGCTTATGGTTAACAGTAGTTCGCGACCACTATCAATAAAATGCAGTATACTGCAGGCTCCAATTACAATGGTCATACTATCATGCTATAATTTGATTCTTAAATTTCTGAATAACCATGCACTGCCAAGATACCCAAGACAGCAGAAAGCAGTTGGGCTTTCATACAAACATGCAGGACTTCTCATGGGAATCCTCTTGAAAGATGTTTGCGGTTTATGCCTTGAGGCACGCTTGAAGTGAGCCTTTCACTTAACGACAGAAACTTGCACCTTAAGTGCTATTCGTCAACGACCTCAAGGCTTATGCCTTAATTTATTTAGACTTATGCCTCAGGGCTGGCTAAGGTGAGCATTCACTTGACTCAACTTTTTTCTGGCTTTTTTATTACTGCCCTCAAATAGACCTTGTTTTGTGCCAGAATAAGAAACTGATAATCATGAGGAGGATAGAGAATCAAATACGTTGGTGATTCTCTTAAAGATACAATTAGTAACCATGATATGGTAGACCTCTGTGTCGTTTCTATTTCTAGTAGCAGGTTACAATTTTGTTATATGATTACTAGGTTTGAAACTTATATTTGCTCCTTTACTAATTAGGTTTATGTTCGCGAGTTACATTTTAATTTGGTAATTGTTATCTCATGAACTTTCAATAAAGTCTATGGTTTTTTATAAAGATAATGTTCATTAATTAGTTTTATGCTCGCCGCGTAAAGATAAAATGCTTTAGCATCTGATTCAATCAGCAAAGCCTAGATGATAGAGTAGTCCATCACTGACTAGGAGATGGCAACATTTTCAAAACACATTAAGCCCCTGTTTGACAACCATTATTTGGGCAAAACAAAATTTTCAATAGAGTTTTTTAAGAGAATGTGTGGTTAAAAAGTAGGGAAAAGGTTTGGGTTTATGTGTTGAATATTTTATTATGTGAATGTAGTTGAAAATGAGTGTAGAAAAAAAGTTTTCAAATAATGGTTGTCAAACAGGGGCAAAGATTGTAAGAACAAGGATTAGTAAACTTTAAAGAAGGAATAAGATATCATTTTCACTATTGATCTCTTATAATTTCTAACTGATGTTTCCCGCTTTTGTGCCTTATGATATGTTCAACCGTTGACCTATTGTGCAATGTGTCAATATGAGTATAAACAAGTGTGTGTCGGGTATCATAATGTTTAAAAAAGGGGCAATTCTTGTGAGGTACATACATTAGGCACCTATAATATTATTCATCAATAAATAAGAGCAAAAAATAAATTAAAGAACCTACTAGTCGACATCAGGGTATTCCAAGTGAGCACCCATGACTATGGTTCAAAATGATTATACCTACTCGGAAACTAGCAAAGCATCCTCTCCCCCCAGGCCCGTCTCTCATTTTCCTTCCTCTGCATGACCTCTGCTTTCAGAATATCTACTGCAGTTCAATTCTGTTCCATAACTTCACCATGTCTTATAGAATGGAAACGAATCTCAAAAGGGAAAGGTCTGCAACATTCAACTTCCAGTATCTGTAGGGACACAGGTCAAATTCAGTTTTCTCATTCTTCCCAAAAGGTTCACACGTTCATGTGGGACAGGGTGGTTGGCTGTCATTTGAAAATTATAAGCCCAGTAAAAGGACCAGAAACTTCTTCCAACCAAGACAGCAACAGAAGTCCATGAACCTACAAACAGGTTAGAAATGTTTATCCTTTAAATTGCTCCTACAAAGACCATCAACTTAGATTTCCAGAAGGTTTAATGGGGAAGTCCTATCCAGATGATCAACTGAAGTTAATCATGATCATCGATTAGGTATTTAGCAAAGAACATCTGTAGATAAATAAAAAAACATCTTATCCATTTAAAGCTCACACGCATCTAGCAATATCCACTTCTTATAAATTTCGATGCACAAAAATTAGAACACCTACTTACTAGAGCTGCCAACACATTTGCCCATCTTTTGGTCAAGTAATGTTACCCCTGGCAAAACAAAATCAATTTTCTGGAACCAACTATATCATCCCTCCTACCCAACTCCAAGCTGCACCACGATAAAGGACCGACCACTCATGCAGTGAGAACTCTAGCAAAACGCCTGAACTACTTAGGTAAAAAAAAAGTAATCTTTATCAATAAAGTAGGTCGATTAGTGTAAAATTATATCCCTTAGGAACTGTACATGCACCTTTTGATGCATATGGTCCAAAAAAATTGCAAAAAAAAGGGAATCAATGTATAGATTCAAGTCCTTTTTCTTTGTTCCTATTCTTTTTCCATAGCAGGTTGTTTCTGACCTCTAATGAAAGGACTGTTTCTTTGATTTTTTAATAAAGACGAATTTTAACTTCCTTCTTCCTCATAATAGGGAAAAAGAAAAAAAACAAAGCTTGTTGAATTAACTTCTCATTGATGTATTGTTTCCCTGCCTCCCACCATGTCATCAATGAATAACAATCAACCAACAGATAGAGAAACAATTATCAGTCATCTTAACTTACAAGACAACTCTTGACAACTTATAAATTATCATTTAGATAACAACTTATCTAGATAGAAAGTACACCAATTTGACCTTCCATGTCCACAACGGATATCTAATTCAAAGCCCAGAAATCCCAAATCCATTCAAGAACAAGTCAATTTCTACTATTGGATAGAATTGAATCATGCAAGAGGGTTGCGGTTGCTGGAAAGCCAATGTAACACCCACATCTATGAAATGAATCCTTCAGCATCACATATACCTTGGCCTTGCCAATAATCGCAGTACAGGTATTATAATATCGTCACTGGCTTGCCAATTAGTTTAACTAATCTTATTCCATTTTATTTTAATTAGAAGATATGAGTCAAACTACTAAAACCCTACCGTATTTTTTCAATTACATGTCCAAACATTGTAACTACAGCACATTGGATGCTAGCAGAAATTGAGGACTGCTACAAAGATTCTATGAGATGAAAAGAAACTTATAAAGTTAAAAGACAAGTTCTACACAAAGGTTATAGACGACCTATGATTTATGTTACTTATGGTGATATAGCAGAAATGAGGATGAGGATTATAACATGAATTTGTGACCACGGTAGAACAGATAAAATAAGAAATGCAAGTGAAGGTCATACCAATTAAGATTCTAAATTAAAGGGGTGTGACTTTGGTAGTTGGAGTACTTATATAGACAGAATCTTACTAAAGCTAAGCAATTTCACCAGAACGTCTTGAAAAGAGAGATGTAAGACCAATACTAACCAGCACTCGTGTGATAGCAATGAATAGATAGAATCTTCCGGTGAATATAACAATTGATTGATCGACTTGAGAAAAGGGATTTTGTAACTGACCTAAAAGTTATCAGCAACAAAGCTTAGCTTGTACTTTTATTGTTTATCATCTTTGTCCAAACGATAATTAAAAATTCCAGCAGCACGTCGATGTCTACATAGTCTGGAGATAATGCATTCAATTAAAAATTATGGGAACATCAGATTCAGTCCATACTACGCAGCCTAGCATATTCCCCCCCAACCAAAGAAAGGAAAACTGATGATGACATGGCAAACGATATAAATCAGGCCATATGCCTTATCCTTCTATCATAAGAATAAGAAATATAACCTAACAAGCCCGTTCAATTCCTAAAAAATCCTAGAATTAGCTTAAGAACATCCTCCTAGGAGAAGTTTCTGTTCATTACACAGTGTACACGAGCAAGAAGTTTCTTTTGAGTTTTTCTAACACCTAATTTTCGATACCATAATCCTTTATCCACATAATGTACCTAGCCACCAAAATTTTCTGTATTTGGATCAGGAAAGCTCATTTTTAACATATCTACCCCCCTATGTTTTCCCACTGTATTAAATTATTTTCCCACTTTCAAAAAAAAATAATAATAATAAAAAAATGGAGATATTTAGAAGTTTGTGAATTAAACCTAGATCATCAAGTCAGCACCTCTACTGACCAAACTATAACAGAGAAAAACACCTTCCACATAAAAATGGTCACCAAGTCCAGAAGACGAGAAACTTCCTAGCAAGTTATAAGATAACCTAAGCATAAAAAAGAGCATAAAGTAGAAATTCTAGGCAATAAGTTAGATGGAGACTTACTTGCAAGTGCTTGACGATAAGCTTGCGCAAAGGACCTTATCAGAATCCCAGAACCCATTACAATCAGATTTGCAAGAATTTTAGCAGCCTGCTTAGGCAGAAATGCAATGAGATTTAATGGAAATAGTTTAGTTGAAAACCTAGACGTCATCCAACTAAAGTAGCACTACAAAAACGAAGGATAAAACAGAGGAACCACATTTTTATACCATATTTCCACCATATATTTCAAATTTTCCCAGTGAAAGTCAATTCAAAGAAAAGGAAATGAAGACATGGAGAAGGGGGGAGGGGTTCAAAATGAAAAATGATCAACTTGTCTGCAAGCCAGATCATGCCAAGTTATCAATAATAGCGAACCTTAGGGTGAGTACCCCTTTCTTTCCAACTTTAGTTTGTGCACTTTGATTTTCAAAGTAATGCCTCATCAAAATAATTAACCATTTTTATTGCAATTAGATACAAGAAGATGACCTGCTATAAAATCTACTGTGCACCAACAATGCAATCCAAAAGAAGCACCCAAGATGTACGAAAAAATAATCTGTGAAAACAAAGTTTCATAAATCAGTTGCCTACTTCCTCACTCCATTATCCCTATGAAGCTTGCAGCAGCAGAATTAAAGGTAAGCAGTTCCTAGGAAATTCTAACGCTGAAGCCTGATAAGAAGTTCAAACGTATGAAACAACGTAACTCACACTAATGCTTTCAATATAAACACAAGGTATACATAAGTAGTTTATCTGTTAAAGAAATTGTGCATTGAACACTTCCCGTGTATTATCCATGATTAATAAAATATTTGATTACCTATCATAAATAAAAAATAAAAAATAAATAAATAAAACACATACACACACACACACACACTTGGCGCGGAAATCCATAGATTATTAAACCAGATATCCTATTCATGCCCCTTATTTACAAATTGCATGCCAACGATCTCAATGAACTCAATCCACAGTCACGAAATTTAAAAGATGCAAAATCACCACGATCATTTCAGGAGGATATCACAACGAGTTCTAATTTTTCACAGTTGATTATCTCTAAACCAATTATTCCCATTACTCCAAATATCTTATTGAGATCAAAATCCACAATAACGAATTGAAAAGATGCCAAAAACCACCATGCGTACAGATAAAATCGCGAAAAGAAAAGGAAAATCTAATGAAAATGGATTGAAAACTCACCATAGCCGGTCTTCCTGACTAATAAGATTAAAGTAAAGGAGTTGAATCAGTGATTTTGATAATTTAGGTTAAACGTTTGGTTTTTTGGTTCCCGAAAAAAGGAAAGGAGCTGCAAATTTGAAGGATCAAAACACGACGTCGTAACGTAAATTTGGGGCTTTCCGGAAGAAGAAGAGCCTAACCGACCTCGTTTTGTAACAAGTTTTATTTTTTAAGTTTTTTGTTTGCGAATGTTACGTTTCATTAAAATTAGGGACAATAGTAGCAAAGGTCCCAATCTTTAACTTAGCCCCTATTTAGTCCTCATTGTTTAGAATTCATTTTTTCTTAAATTCAGTTTCAACCACATATGTTCTGGGACTCACAATTTTAATCAACTTTTCAATCAAACGCCTTACCAATTTTTAATGAAATCTACTTGAAAATCTTAAAAAAACCAAGATTTTACTATATTACATGGGTTTAATGCATTGCAGGTCATTTAACTTTTAGGGTCTGTTTGATTGTAAATATAGAATTGAATTGAATTGAAAACGAATTTCAGATAATTGAATTGTCTAGAAATTATTTTCCTGAAATTTGTAAATTATTGTGTTTGATTGATATAATTTTCCACATGGAAAATGTTGAAATAAAAGTGTTTTTTGGTGTTCGTTTGGCTCTGTTTTACATGAAAATTGTCAATTAAAGTGATAGATTTTTACTGATATCGGGGATGAAACTTGTTTCCATTGCACAAAAAAAAAATTCAAGATAATCATCCATATTTTGATATTCGTCTGACTTTGTTTTACATGGAAATTGTCAATTAAAGAGAAATATTTTTTTTTGCAATAATTCTTAGAATTTATTAAATTTGCCAACAAAAAAATAAAATTATATATATATATATATATATATATATATGCGCTACAGTAATCGGGAAAACCAATTCCCACCATATCCCTAAAAACCAAAAAAATTTCGAAATTCAAGAAAAACAAGAACTTGAATTCTATGGAAAAATATACCCATCAAACACCTTAAAAGTTGAAAAATATTGTTGAAATTCCATTTTCCATGAAAAATTTGGATGTATCGAACACACTCTTAGTGAAGTTGTATCAAGTTCACCCGTTTTTAATTTTGTACAATCAAGCTGCCCAATTTCGTCCACTGTAAAAAGTTTAGCTAATGTAACCTGAATATTAAAACTAAAAGATGATTGAACCGGGTATTTCCAAGTCATCCAATCAGAACTCTTAATATTAATTCTTTCACATGATGGGTAAAATTTGATTTTTGACATGCCTAAAGTTGTCGATTTTACATGTTGGCTGGTCGGTTCACACCCTAATTGCACTTCACTTATGGTTTTATCATTCCCTAAACTTAGAATTTGAAAAACGGGCCTTCATTATAATAATGCATGCCAGATGAGGATTTCATCATTTTCAATTTAAAGGTATATTTTGTAGTTAGGCCCTTGGAAAAATAAAAATAAAAATCTTAAATTAACCCTAAACTTTACGAACAACCAAATAATAATCGTAATATATGAAATTTCAGCGTATTACAAACCTTCTTGAAAATGCCTACCAAGAACAAGAATCGCAAGAGCTTAATAAGTCAAGAAAAAAGCAGAATTAACAATTTGAATGGTCGAATCATTATTTTTAGATTCATTGAAATATTGAGTGCCTTATTTGAATTTGTAATATCCAGAATTTCGTGATTTAGAAATTAATGTTGAGCTTGTTAGGTTTTATATGAGAATAATAAGTATAAAAATTGGTTACAAAGATCTGTAGGCTCATTTGCAATATTTAAAAAGTTTAAAGACCAAAATACAATTATAAAATATTTGCATGTTTTGTATGTACATTGAAATAAGTTGTTGTGAGGTTAATTATTACGGTGAATATATTCACTCCACAAATTTTATTAACTACGCCATATTATAATTAAAATGAATGTCCTTAAATTTTGTTCATTTTCGTACTTGTATTCTCAAATTTCTTTCCCTCATATTTTAAATTCCAACCTTATTTTAACTAAGACATCTTATTCCTGATAATGACCAAAAAAATATGTTAGAATTGAATAAAAAGATGTATTTGTCATCTGGATTTTTTTAATACACAAGGTAAACAATGGTTCCATAAGTTCAACAAAATATTTTCCACACATTTACATAATATTTGAATAAAAAAATAGTTATCAAATACAAGACATATTAATTACTAGAAAGTTAAATATAAAAACGTAACGATAAAAAAAGTTGGAGATATAAGTGCAAAATTTGAGGACTTTAATTACAATTAAAATTTGGTGCAGTTAATAAAAACTGTTGTGTGCAGATAACTACCCTAATTAATACTTAATTTTTTTTATTATTATTATTTTTTTTTTGTTGAGGTTTAGGCAATGTTTTAAAGACTGGATTTGGAACCAACCTAGAAAATTGAAAAGATAAAAGTCAAAGGGTCGAATCGGAGACAAACAGGGGTTGAATTGGTAGTTGAAAAAAAAACCTTAAGATAATAAAAAATTAATTAATAGGCCCTTTATTTATTTAATTATAAAAATAAAACACAATTTACTTGTTTCCGCTTGACTGTCCAGCCGACTGAGATGCCTAAGCCCAAAATCCCTTATTGCCATAAAACAATTTCATAGAGAAAGTTGGGATAAATCGGATTCATGGCACAAACCGCTTTCTTCTATATTTTTCAAGAGCAATTAGGATCTGGAAGTCGATCCGAGACAGAAAATTTCTTTTCTCGTGTCGAAAGAGTAATGATTTTGGATCTGTTGGTCAAAAATTCCTAAAATGAATATAAGGAGAAATGGTTTGTTAGTCTCCTAATTCAGTGTAACAACCAGCCCAACAAGAACATGATGTAAGTCCACGAAATCAGTATTGCACCCAGCCCAACCACAAGATTGTTATTTGGCATTCATCAAGAGCATTCTAAAGTTGATAAACATTGTACTCATTGAGTTCTTGTCATGAAATATTGGTCATCCGTTATAAGGATCGATGATAATCATGTTTTAATGGTTATACTCATAAAGTTGTAACGGTATGAAGGTCAAAAGTCATATTCTAAGGCCCTATTTGATTCACATTCTTTATAAAAAAAAATGCATTTTTAAACAGTGATTTGACATCATTTAACCACACATTTTTCAATAAAATAATATTACACGTAAATTCAGAACTTTTTCTTAATTTTTAACCACATATTTTTTATCAATACACTATTTAAAAATGCATTTTTATGAAAATAATCTGGCTCAAACAAGGGTTATATGAAGTACTAGGAAATTTTGGGCTCACCGAATTGGAATTTGATGGCATGATTGTTTTTGATATATGGATTTAATACATATTATTTAGAATTGTACAAAGTTTTGTATCCTATTTAGGATTCACCTTATCCTTTTCCTCAAAGTTTAAGAATTGGTCGTGACTTGTTACTAGGATGGATTGTAGAAGATTTTGCCAAAAGGTTTAGAGAAAGAAGAAGAAGGTAAAGTCGGAAGAAGGTGATTAATATATATTCTTCAGTGTGGAAGTCGAAAAGACCCCTGCATTTTTTAGAATTTCTGAAGGAGTTAATGCATGCTCATTTTCATTCTTCTCGTGTAATTAAATCACAAGAATTCACGTGGCATGGGCATCAAATACAGTAAAATTATTGGAGTTAGACATTGGCTAACACAGAAAACTTTTTGATTTGTGTGAGATATGCCATCAAAGGTTACATCTTGAATTAGAAATGATTGAATGGAATCAGCGGCGAATCCAGGATCGAAATCCAGCTAGGGCGGGTTGACCGTTGATCTTCGACAATCGTAATAGTTCGATTGTTTAATAAAATTTGGTTACATAATATTAAAAGTTATTCAATATATATGTAAATGAACTAAAACGTCAAAATCGTATACATATGAAATTATATTTCAATACAACCCAAAATGGTAAAAAAATATATATATATACAATACAACATTACTCAGTTACTCTGTAACTGTAAACTTAGAAACTGCATTCTGCGAGATCTCATGACTTGAAAACATTGCAATATTGTCTCATTCTCAAGTTTTTTAAAAATAGCTTTCTCCACATAAATCACCAAATTGTCATTCAACCAGTCTATCCCATTTTGTTGAATAAATCGCTCTTGATTAGATTCATAACAGAAAATACCCTTTCAACACTTGCAGTTGCCACAGGTAATATCAAAGCCAATGTGAGAAGCCTATAAACCAATGAAAAATAACAAGAACTTCTAGTTGCAACCAACTTCTGAGCTATACAAGATATGCTATTGAGATTAAAGAAAGTTTCGTCCATTCTCACAAGCAAAAGAAACTTATCAAGCTGAGGTCTAAGTAATAAAAACTCTTCACTAGTGAAGTCCAACGTATAGAACTGAGCAAGATGTAGCAATTTATCCTTATCGAAGGTTGCAAATGAATCTCTTGGACTTAAACATGAAATGCAAGTTAAGAGCTCAGTAATTGTTTATGGAAAACAATCATTCAATCTTGCAAGATTGAGTCAATCCCATGACAATACAAATCAACATAAAAGTTATGAAAATAAGCCACCTGCTGAGCTACACGCCTAGGTTGACCTTTCACTACTACAATATCTTCCATATAGGGCACTAAAATATGTCTATCAACACAAAACTTAATCACTCTACTCAACAAAGTATCCCAACCATTCTCTTCCAGGTTCTGCAATGCACATTTACACAAATTCAATAACCTTATAGCATTCTGAATATCCTGGTCATTTTTCCGTAAGGCTTGTGAAAAGTCGTCTGTAATTTCCAGAATTTCAAACATAAAATGGAGACTGAACACAAATTTAAAATCTTGCATGGCATTTATCTGTTTTACAGCCGAAGATTTTTTATTTGAATGTATGCCATCTTCAGATATATTTTCAAGAACATCTATGATAGCATTAAACATATTAATGAAACGAATAATTGTCAGTAGATGTGAGCCCCACCAAGTATCACCTGGGCATGCCAAACTCATTTCTTGAAATTGACTACTTCCACTAGTAAGTTCCCCAATATTAAGCTTCCCCAGAATATTAGCTTGATAACTTGTTCAAAGAGTATCTACACGCTTACATGATACACCAACCAAATTCACAATAATAGCAAGTATGTCGAAAAAATCACCAAGCATACAATTCCTATGTGCCACAGATACAATTGTCAACCGAAGTTGGTGAGCAAAGCAATGAACATACATAGTAGGTGAGTTCTCTCTTAAAATTAAAACTTTCAACCCATTGAAATCGCCTGACATATTACTTTCTCCATCATAGCCTTAACCTCTCAGGCTATATATGCTCAGCCCATATGTAGAAAACATTGCATCAATGGCATCCTTCAGTGATTAGGCACAAGTATTAGTGACATGGGACATACCCAAAAAACGCTCCTTCACTTGCCCACTCTTGTCAACAAATCTCAAAACAACTATCATTTGTTCTTTCATAGAATTATCACGAGTCTCATCAACCAAAATTAAAAACAAATAATCACCTATCTCATTGATAATAGCCCTTGTCGTCTCCACGGTACAACAATTAACCAAATCATTTTGGATGATTGGTGAAATCATTTGGTCATTTTTAGGAGTATTACTAAATAATACTTCTTTAATTTCCTTACAACGAGCTGCATACCAGTCTAGTAACTCAATTAGATTTCCTTTATTAAGAGACTCTTTCGATTCATCATGACCACGAAATGACAATCATGGCATCAAGGGAAGTCTAGTGCAATCTAGCACCGCAGTCAACCTGGTCCTATAAATTTGTTGTTGACTACAACTTTGGCTAGAAATAATGTAGGAGATACTTTTCTTTTGATTCATCAAATTGATACACTTTGCAAAAACTTGATTATGAGCACTATCAAAGAGACCGACATGATCTTTCAATGTCTTTTTGTGATTCCAATCCTTAAAGCCGGTCTTAGTATACATATGTCCACCCCCTCTATCGGGTTTGCACAAATAGTAATGCAAACAATACGTCGGCATCCTTTTCTATACTGTATTCCAACCAATAAAATTTGGAAAATTATTCTTTCCGAAAACATCTATTATCATTCCCTATTGGTCTTCTTGGAAAATCATGTCCATATGGTTAACAATGACCTTCTCCAAGTATGTCATCCTAAAATCATCTCTAATATTAGGATCATATGACTCGATAGAGGGTGTATCCCTAGATCAGATACAAGACCATCTACTTTGAATTGAGTCCGAGACTTCTTTTATGTTATTTAATAACTCTTGTGCTCGACTAGAATAAGTGGCGGGACTAAATGCACAACTAGAAATAGAAGAATTGGGTCTGGACTTTCGTTTTAGTTGAAAAAAATTGTTCCATAATCCGAAAAATGTCCCCAAATTATTTTTCAATTACAAAACATTAATTACTTTTCAGAAATCACAATTCGCAAACATAATTTCATAAACATAAATTCCCAAATCATTAATAATTCCTCATCGAAACATAAATTACTAATCATAAATCACAATTCGCAAATATAATTTCGTAAACTTAAATTCCCGAATCAATAATCATAACTCATAAAACATAAATTACTTATCATAATTCATAAATCACAATTCGCAATTTTTTAATTCCCAAATGAATAAATCATAACATATTTAACATTAACTTAAGTCACTGACCTGAGGAAGGAATCATTTAGCATTAATATTGGCTCCAACCAGAGAACTTGCTCGCCAAGTGGACAAAGAATTTTGCGATTTTGCTTAAAATTTGGACACTCTATCAATGTCTATGGGGGATGCCAATTTCACGCCTAATTGATACCTTTAATTTTAAAAATGGTGTTGAGCAGTTAGCACATACAAATTACAACACAATAAAATTAAATTTGCCAATTTACCAGTTAGCACTTAGCACATACAATTATACACATAGGCCGCGAACCGGCGAACAGACGAAGGAAGAAGTGTCTCGTCACTCTCGTATGTAGGTACATACCTCTTTTCTCATTCATTACAGTGAACAAATCTTGGCAGAACAAGTCAGAAGAGGAAGTGTTAGACCAAAACTAATCCGAACCAGTGAACCACTGTACTTGCTAATTAAATATATAATACAAATCTGGGTAGAAAATCCATTTCTAATTAAATACATAATGTCATAATAGTCAATAGACACTGAAGAGTGAAAACAATTTGGTGAACTTATAATTACACTTACACGTGACGTGAATCGGGGTCAGAAAAAACCCTTAAATCCAAATTTTAGATAGAAATTTTACATTATTTTATATTACTTAAACATCAAACAAAATTAACCCATTAAACAAACACACAAAGTCACAAAGATAAACAATACAAAAATATAAAAATTGACCATATCTGAGTAGGGCGAACCGACAATCTGGTAGGCAGCACTGTCGTTTCTCATGTGTACTATGTAGCCAGTGTAGCTGTGTAGGGCAGGGGCGATTGCGACAAAGGAAAAATTGAAGAAATTGAAAAAGGGTTTTTGCAATTTGGCTTCCCTCTTCAGTCTACTAGTAGCGTTCCACGATTTGGGAGAAATGGGATCGGTTGATTTTATGATTTGGGCATTTGATTCAATTTTATTGACTAGTTGGACTTTGATAAGTTGGATTCTTTTCATTTAACAATTGGGCTAACAATAGGAGGTCCAAAATTTGAAGCCCTACCCACATGCCACAGCACAAAAAAATAAATAAATAATAAATAATAAAAAAATAAAAATTGCCCTCTCGTCTCATTTTCCTCCTTCCTTCTCTAGAGACCAGCGACGAAAGACAGATAGACTCTGACGCTTCTGCAACTGGCACTACTCGGCGGCTCTAAAGATTTCGGCGGAGCTAGCACGCGCGGCCACGCCCCCCTCGTTGGGTGCTGGCTCTGTGCTTAAATGGAATGTAGATCCAACATGTATACGATCGACACGTGTCATATAAGATGTCAAGCCCATCAAGGGTAGAAATGATAACATGCTCTCACAAGCATGGGTTCTAGTGATGATGATAAAATAAAATCCTCTCTCAATTGTGAGTCAACGAGGTACTCGATCGACATGATGCATGATGAGTTTGCACTTAGTACAACATGATCGACTTAGAACGATCGAGTGTTGTGGGTTCCCCACAAAGAAGTCGATGTGGTTCGCTATTAATGCAATTGACGTCAACTGTCACTCCCATGTTAGCATTACTCTTGTGAAATTTTATTAATAGGCTTTTGTTCCTTCCATGATAGACAAAATGTTCACTCTTTCTACCATTAACCTGTCTCTTTTGGAAAAGATTCTAACGCGCTATCTTTCTCTATGAAAGAAAACAGAAACTTTCAATTCTTCAAAGGGAGATTTTAGGAAACTAACTACTCAGAAAACTCTTGAAAATCAGCATGCGCAATTCAGCTTCCATATATATAGCCTTTGTTTTGTGAAGATAAAAATCAGATTTTTCGTAAAATTTGATAAAATGTATTATTGAAAAGTTTTGAGAACCATAAAATATATATTTAAAATTAATTTTTAATTTGACTTACCTTAAAATTTTAGTTTTAATCACTATCAAACAGGAACATATTATATGTTTGAGTTTGATATTCTTAACCTTCTTAATGTACAATTATAACTCTACCAAGTATAGTGACGGGTTATGTCCCTCTCTTAAGCAAACTTTTCCGTCAATGAACACATTGTCAATTCAATCATGCTATAGGTAAAGAAAATTTTAACAGACAACACAAGGCGTGAAATCATTGGGAGATGGAAAAAATACAAAAAAACAAGCGAATTAGATTTTGCCACATCTACATCTGTATAAATTCGGAAATTAAATCCCAGTACTTAAGGCTTTTTCCTTGTCAATTTAGAGCATAACAATTCGAGTTTCAAAATTCCATCTACTTTAAAAATGCGAAAATCTTGTTAAATAAATTTTCAGCACGGCAAGACAAAGTGCTCGTTTTGTGGGAATTAAAATTAGATTTTCAATAGATTTTGATAAAAGTTTTTGATATGTACGATTGAAAAATTGTGGGATCCATAAAATATGTGATTAATGTTGATTGTTTGACTTTCACTTAGATTAAAGTTTGCTTTAAATCAATACCAAATTGGGATAAAATGTGGTCCCACGCAATGATTTTATTTAGTCAAACGATACTTCAACTCTTCGAATATCTGCTTTGGAACAAATTAAGCACAAAATAACGAGACAAAGGCTGCTAAGTATTCTTTGTACTTTTTCCAAGAAGGCGTTCCAACATTGCTAACAAAATTACTTAAAAAGTCTATGAATAATAATTGTGGCTTGGAAGACTAATATATAAAGTGGGTGACAATAAAAGAAAAAAAGTTGTTGAAATTTTGAATAGAAATAATTCAGCGAAAGACAGCCACGTAGGGGCCATTTACAAATCCCACACGCAATCAATCATGCAGAGACTGCTGTTCCAATAACAAGAATTTGGATAAGAGTCGGTGAAACTACTTCTAAAGTTCTCAAGGAATATTTTACTGAAATTCACTCGATTTTTAGAATTCTTTATCAAGTTATCTATAATTAACTTTATTGAAAGAGACAAGATTCGGTTCAAATACCATAAAAATAAAAAAAATCTAATACCCTTTCATTTCTTTGTATTTTCTCTTTCATATTAGATTTCTTAATTCGTCCCGACATGACTTTTTAGAACCGGTTTAAGTAATGTGCGCAATACAAAATTCGTGATGCAGAATGCGTTTGATTCATCTATTGGTTTGCACCGAAATGACCTGGACGAATAGGGAAATCCCAATTCATTAGGCCTTTCGATACAATCAAATAGAAAACCCCACTACAAAGAAACATTTCTTCCAAGTCACAAGGTAAGAGTCATTTCCATTATCTTTCTTTGATTAACTCTACTTGAATCCATTTTCTTTTTTTATCGACAAAACCCGTGCTCCAATATTTGTCCAATTGAAACATCTGAGGGAATCAAGGTTGGACTTATTGGATCCTTAGCAATTTAAATTGAGAAATTGATGCAAGTTTTTCCCTTCTTAATAGATTTATATTTGAAAGAGGTTGACACAGTAGGCCAATTTAATTGGTTCTTTGCACCTAGTTTTGGTGTAGCAGCTATATTTTGATTTAAATTAGTCACTTCATCAAATTTCGAAAATGCAATTGACAGTAACTGCATGAGTAGAAAGACACGTCACATAAAATTTACTTCAAACTATAAAAACAGCACGTCATTGAAATTTTTTATATTAATCAAATCGTGTAATTTATCTTAGGTGCCTCCACTGAACGCAATGGAAGTTTTTATATCAAGTAATTGAGTATCTGATTTCAGAGTTATCTTGTTGACATAAACTAACTCTAAAACGCAATTTCTTCAATCCAAAACGTTGATATTTTAACATGTACTATACATTTGCATGTCTGTGGGTGATTAAACACCATTCCATATGGAGAGAATCCACTTTATCAGGGTGGCCCGACACACACCTCGGAGGTGTGTGTCCACCCATCGAGGTGGAACCTCGACATTAGGTGGTGGATGGTGCGCCGGCCCTATTGAAAATTCAGCCTTCTACATGGCATTCTGTCTAGTTTTATTGTCCATCACAATAAATTCCAATGATCTAATTGTGATTCCAAAGTTCGTAGGATGGCCGAAAATGACTAGTTACCAGCTACCACCAACCTCAGGACAAAATAAAATGATTATGCCACCTTCCCTTCAAATTGTTTATTTATATGATTTATGGACACATCTTCAATAATTGTTCTGCCACGTACATTTGTGTTTTTTGTTTTGCCTGGACATGATTTCAATATCAAATAATTTAAGGTCTTTTAGTAATAGTTTTAAATTAATGATTTTTCATTAAAGAATTTGACGTTCAGAATGTGATAACAGCATGATAGAATATTCTTCTAACAATATTTGTTAAAAAATAATTAGCCATACATAACTGACATGTTTGACATGCAAAATTAGATATGATTGAATGTCAATATTAATTAATTTTGACAATCAGTAAAAACCTTGCATTTGCTGATGAGAGGGGAGTAGCTGTAGTGGGATTGAACCCAAACATGGGGGAAGGGGGTGAGCTGGTTTATCGTATAATAAGAGAAATGTTGCACATATTAGGGCTCGATTGCTGTGAAATATAGGCACAAACACCTCTTGTCCCTTGGAGGGGAAGAGGTGGAGAAACGATCCTTGGCTTGCTAATTATCACTTTGAAAAGAACCTATTTGAAAACAACGTAATACCACATTTGACTCAATGGCTTCCAGTGATTTCAATGAACAGTC